CTAGGAAGCCACTGATGCAAAGAGCGGAGGACAGCAAAAGGGTTATTTCAAGCCCAGCCGAAGCCAGGATATCGTGATATGCCGAATCTCCCAATTTGATAATCGTACACTCCCAAGATCCAACAGTCCTCGTGTCAGCAGCTAGATGATTCAAACAACATAGCAACACATATACGGCCGTGTGTGTGTTTTGCGATAGATGTTTTTCACAGGTTCCCTCAGAAGCGCTGGTCGCGGGGGTGCAAAGGTGTTTTGAAACTACAGTAGTTTTCGGTGATAATTCTTACCGTAGCGGCAAGCCTAAAATCAGGAAAAAAATATCCTTGACCTTTATTAATCATCAGGTGTGCTCCAATGGGCGTGGAATTGTGCGTACAGTCGAAACATGCTCTGTAGAACGTCGTGTGGTTCGTACCCTATTTGATGGTGACGTTCGTGCGTTCCAGTACCTGTGGGGGGAGGCATGCACGGGTTTAGACCGAAAACCCGGGGACGCGGTGGTTCTGTCCCCGGGGTGGCGTGTTTTTTTTGTTCTGAACATGTTTCTCACTCATGTTTAAAGATCCCCTCCAAAGGTTGTGTCGTGGGGATGAATGAGTATTCCTCAGTGGTGGATACATTTGGCGGTGTTCGGCGTGAATTCTTACCGTTGGTTAGCGGCATGCTAAATCAGGAAAAAGTACCCATCGTTGATCAAGCACCATCTTACGTAGACAACTCATTTCGGCGTGATTTTTTTTCTCGAGTCCTCTACTGACTGGAATAACACACTTATGCATCAACTTGGTTGTTCTGCCTCGTTTCGAACGCACAGAGCACGCAATACAGGTCACGGGGAGAAAAACCCATCCCTACCCATGGTGTCGAAAACCCGGGGATACGTCATTTTCATCCCGGGAGAGGCGATTTTTTAGTGTCTGAGCCTCCCCTCGTGTGACACAAATATTTTTTACTGAGAAATAGAGTGGGAACTTGGCTGCTGTCGGTAGTGTGACTCGTTTGAAAAGGCGGCGAAAAGGCCCGCAGCAGCAGTAACGCACCCCAACACACCCGTGGCGTTGCCCGAGAGCCGCCACACTCGAGAGATAGACAGGAAAGAGCGAGAGAGAGCGAGAGAGAGAGAGACAGATGAGAGGTGTGTATGGCAGATGTGGCATGGAGGAAACGAAGGGAGAGGAGTGTGGCATCGAGGCACCAGACGAGCTCGCTGCGAAGTCTGCCCCTTCTCCAGCTGAGGCAACGCAGCAGCTCCAAGCAACAGCACCAGCTCCAGCTACGACACCTGTAGCAGCAGCAACTGACGCTTATGGCGATGACTGTTTGTCGGCCGTACTCCGCGTACTTATCGGGACTTGTTTGTGTAGTGTATTAACTTCAGACGGTGAGACAACGCCCGTACCCAGGACGCTGTCGTGCTCGGAAAGCAGGAGGAGAAAGAGAGAGTGGCAGCGCGGCTGCTGCACTCAACAAAGGGGGTCCCGGTGCATCATCACCGTACCCCTACCTAAAAGGTTCTACACCATCTGCGTCACACTTGTACGTATGGCTAATGTATCCAAACCATGTCCGTAGACCCACGAACAC